GTAGCTAAAACCCTGATTGGTCTAAGGATTACAACTCACAGTGTCACCGTGGGTCTGACTCAGGAGATGGTGGTTATGGCTCAATATGAGTCTGGGTCGCATGGCTGGGTTTCTAGGGTGACCATTCCCATGGTGATTGCAAGCACACTGGCGACTGGGCTTGCCATTACCATGTACAGTTATTGCTACTTTGATTATTTCCGGCCGTACCCGCAAGGCACAGGAAGTGCGGGAGGTGAACGGCTGCCACGGCCCTAGCTGGTTCCACCTGGATGTTGAACAAAGGGCCGGACACCATCCATTGCTGCTTCTCAGATGCGCTCAGATGCTGATCCCAGGAGTCGTATCCGTACTGGATGGTCACGGCTGCTCTTACCTCGAACCCCAGTTCGGTTTCAGAGCAACGGAACGAGCCTGCCTCTGGGATGTGAACCCTGCACAGCATGGGGAGAAAAGGGTTAAACAGCACTGGCTGGAACCATCTCACGTCCTTTTCCAACTGACCCCGGGTGCCCTCACATTTATCCCCTTAACTCTGCCTTCAGCTCAGCCCTGTGCTTCGCTATCAGGGTTACTCTGTAACCAACAACTGATGTTGGGTGACAATGAGAACAGTTGGCCCTTCTCAGACCTGTCCTCCTCCGAGGAGCAAAGGAGAGTCAGGCTAAATGAGTGGATTCATTACGTTCCTCCGCATCACATATGGGAACACTGTCTCCCCATTTGGAGAAACTGAGCCATGGGAGGAGAAATAACTCGTCCTAGGTCACTCAGTGAGGAAGTGGCAAAGTTGAGAGTAGAACCCAGATGTCCTCAGTCCCAGCTCCGCTACTCTGACCCACTAAACCCCACTCCCTTCCTAGAGCTCTCAAGACTCCTGGTTCATTCACCCCCTGCTCTGCTCTACCCACCCACGCAAGCGTCTCTTTACATGGAGCCCACCCCATGGGATGCTGCGCACTCAGTGTGATAGGAGCTGGCCTGCGCTCCCAGACACAGGCGGCTGCAGAGAGGGTGACACCGAACTCCCAGGACCAGCTCTCACCTGTACGTCTCCTGCTTCCCATCTGGGCCCCGAACAGTCTCAGGGTGTATTTCTTCTGGAGGATCCTAGAACACAGGAACAGGCGTTAACTCAGCCCCATTGGGGATTTCCCACTGCAGAGCTCTTTGCAGAGGGAACCTGGACAGCTGTGGCCAAGTGGTCAGCTGGGGGCTGTTTCTGTGGCCTGGGACCCTGGCAAAGTGGCTGGCAGGGGGGGACTCTGTGATCAGCTGGATTCCAGCCCCACAGTCAGTCATTCCCCAGGGGTGTTTCCCAAGTGCCCAAAATGCCCCAGCCCTGAGCATTGGTGAAATTCTCAGAGGTATGGCTGAGGCGAGGGAGAGAAAGAGAGAAGGGAAGTGGTGATAGATGGACAGACAGAAAAGGATCCGAGTGATCCCACAATTCTTTACCTCCTCTCTGGGACACAAGTCACATTTGTCCTGTCCCCAGGGGTCCCTGCTGGGATCCTCACTCAGGCTGGTCTCTCCTGTGGCTGAGAGGGGGAAAGACCCTTTCACATCTCACATTCTCACAACGTTGAATAAGGAGCCCCCTTCCCCTGTGCAGAGCAATGGGACCTGGGCATTTCCATCAGCAAACTTTCCTGCAGATGGGTCTGTTCTTTGTGTCTGCCAAGCCCTGACGCTGCCGCTGTGTAGTGTGCTGGGCTGGCAAGGCCTGTGGGAAGGGCTCTATGCTGGGTCAGAGGGTGGGGTGGGAAAGGCGGGGTCAGGGAGGGGGATCAGGGTGTAAAGGGGAGAGGACCGGGAAGGATGTGGAGCGGGTGGAATGGAGGGAGAGGAGACCCCAGAGCGATCCTGCAGACAGTGGAGATTAAACCTGATGCAGGTGCTGGGGGCAGAGACAAGGTCTGATCAGGGGACGGTCAGAGCCAAAAGTGGACATTTGGTTTCTCTCTGCTCAGTCATGAGCGAGGCCCATCAGACCACCCGCCACTGGGTCCATTTCAACCTCACTCACCGGCAGCCCCAGTCCCAGCGGAGAGAAGCAGAGTCTGTTGGCAGATGATCTCTGGGGAGGGATGAATTGTTAATAATGTCAATAACGTCATTAGCATCTATTTCCCAGGCCTCTTCCATCCCAAACTGCTTTCCAGGATACAAGTGCAGCCACCTCTGGGGTGGGACACAGCAGCTGTGTAACTGCCTCACAGCAACACTGCACAGCGATAGCATATCCAATGCTGAAACACAGCCACCTCTGGGGTGGGACAGCTGGGTGAGAGATGCACAGCATCGTCACACAGGGATCGTTCACTGAGCAGTGAAATGCAGCTGCTTCTGAGGTGGGGCGCAACAGCTTGCTAGCAGCCACACAGTGACACTGGGAGTTAGGGACAGGTGGTGAAGGAGAATCCTGAACCTACTGGACTCGGAGGCTGTGCACAAGGCCTAGTTGCTTGTACAGAATTATGGTTGTCAGGAATAAGGTGGCCCCATTGGCACTGGGAGGGCCGAAGAACCTCTGGAAGTGATGGGCCAGTGTGTATGGTAGAAGCGGAGGAGCAGAGCTGTGATCGGTGCCACCCACCTTCAACCTCAGCTGTCCCTGCCTCCGAACTAGGGCTGGGCTCAGTCTCGTTATCCAAAGAGCCTGCAGGGCAAAACAGAGGGAAAGGGCCAAAACACTGAAAAAATTAAGCCACATTCTGACCTCAGTGACCGTGGTGTAAATCTGGAGTGACCCCCACTGGTGTCAATGGAGTCTGGGCCAGATTCTGATCTCGCTGACCCCAGCTTCCCTTAGGGAAAAATCCAGCAGGACTGCAGTGAGACACAGCCCCAGCGCTGTCACTGTCCACCCTGCAGCGAGTTCCCATCGGGCCCGTTCCATCCCTCTGGGCAATTCCGGGCTCACCTGCTGATGCCACTGCTGGGTTTTCACCAAAGGAAATTAAATCATGAAGAGCTGGCGTGTGACTTGCACGTCCTATGGGTGAGAGAGACCAGGATTAGTACCAGCTGTTCATCAGCAGAGCTCAATGATTTCACTGCTTAGATTGCCAGCACTCTGGGTGTGGGACTTGTCTTTTTGTTCTGTGTCCATACACAATGGGATCCTGAGCCAGGAGTACGGCTCCAAGGAGCCAGGATAATACCAATAACAAACAACATCGGTAGAGCTCGGGAGGGGGAATGACAGAAATAGATCAATTCCCCCCCCACACACACTTTTCTTCATGAAATTAATAGGCAGCAGGTTTAAAACAAAGAAAGGGAAGTATTTTTTCACACAGTGCACAGTCAACCTGTGGAACTCCTTGCCAGAGGATGGTGTGAAGGCCAAGACCATAACAGGGTTCAAAAAAGAACTAGATAAGTTCATGGAGGATAGCTCCATCAATGGCTATTGGGCAGGGAGCGTGGCCCTAGCCTGTTAGCCAGAGGCCGGGAATGGGTGACGGCATGGATCACTTGATGATTCCCTGTTCTGTTCATTCCCTCTGGGGCACCTGGCATTGGCCAATGTCGGCAGACAGGATACTGGGCTAAATGGACCTTTGGTCTGACCCAGTCTGGCCGTTCTTATGATCTTATGTTCATCTTATGAACTTTGATACGTTTTATCCAGCAGGGCTTCTAGCACTCACGATGATCCTGACCCCAGTTTGGTTGAAAACCAGAAAAAAGCTATAATGAGAAGAGCTTTTCTGATGCAACGTTTTTCTGTCGAGCAATGCCCTTTCATTGGAACTGAAATTGTGCAGATTTTGGCATCTTTTTAGAAGGAGGACGTGGAGGAAGAGGAAGAGGCTGAGGTCTGAGTTTCAAGCAAAATTTCCATCAAGGGAGGTTTGGCACAAGATTTTGGATTTGGTTTCAATTTGGAACGAAAATCAAGGGTCAGCCTCATGCAGAAGTTCACAAAATGGAAATTCCAAATTTTCAGCCGGTTCTCATGATGGCTTAAAAAAAATTCTTCCGTTTTTCTGGCCAAAATGCCAACTCAATTTTTAAATCTGAAATCTGAAAAATTCCGATCAAGCTTTAGCTGGGTGATTAAAGCAGTGGCTCTCAATGTTTCCAGATGATGGTACCCCTTTCAGGCGTCTGATTTGTCTTGGGTACCCCCAAGTCTCACCTCACTTAAAAACGACTTCCTTACAAAATCAGACATAACAATACAAAGGTGTCAGCCACTGTTACTGAAAAATTGCGGACTTTCTCATTTTTACCATATGATTATAAAATACATCAATTGGGGGAATCCAGCCAGGGTCGAACATGTATCAGTCAGATTCCACTGACAACAGGACTGGTGGTGACCAGGCTTGGGAGTAACGGTGGCTACATGTGAGGGGATATGATGTTATCTGATTGAAGTACGAACTGGGGACACTGGTTTTAAGAACACTTATCCCTATAAGGAGTGTGGCTGGTGGTGACGCAGGGAACTGGAGTATCTGAGGGAATTGCTCCTCTAACTTCTTGATAGCCAGTGTGGTGAGGCAGAAGTTCTTTTTGTGGGCTGGTCTGGTGTATCTTATAAGTGGAGGACCATCAGGCTTGGGCTGTGACTGCCCTGTTTCTTGGCAGTTCGTCCTGAATTGGATACTCTCAGTAATGTCCCACTAGAGCACATCTGTTTACCGGGGGCCATTTCTGTCTTCAGAGCTGAGCCCGGCCCCTTCATCTGCTCCCAGGATGGGAGGGGGAATCTATGCCTTTAAAGGGGAGCCCTCCAAAGCCCATTTGGCTGGAGGGACCTTGTGCCCCAGACATACGCGCTGACTCCGTGGGTGCTCTGGGGTTGGTGCCCCCATGGAAAAAAATGCGCCCACTATCCCACCAATCAGCTCTTCCTGCTCCCTCCCAGCGCCTCCTGTCCACTGCTGATCAGCTGGACCAGAGGAAATCCCTGCTGCTTGTCATGGGGTGGTGGCTGGAGAGATGGGGAGTTCACTGATCTGGAGGCCCTGTGCCCAGCTGGGTCACTCTGGAGGCAGAGGGAGAAGAGGAGTTGGCTTAGCTGTCTGTGAGGTGGTGTCCAGCCCTCGGGGATCCCACCCCCTTTGTCACCGCTTCACCTGCAGATGCAGTCACAAGACACCCAGCGCATGCCCCTAGGGAGCTGGGACTAGAATGGAGCAGACCCAGGGGCCCAGCTAGTCTGGTATCCCACCCCGGGGAGCTCCCTCCTAGTAACTTCTTTCCCAACACACCTGGCCCCCCACCGAGTGCCTCCAGCACAGGGGGAACGGGACCCCCGGTCTTTTTCTTCCCCGACATCAGTGTGACTTCTCCCACGGCCCCAGCCGGCAGGGCAGGAGGTTCCTGAGGGACACTGCCATAAACAGACTCCTCCTGGGGATGATGCACAGTGCTCTGGGAGCGTTGTGGGAAGGCTGCTTCCATAGCAGGGTCCAGGCAGAGAAAGAGAGAGAATCATAGAATCATAGAATATCAGCGTTGGAAGGGACCTCAGGAGGTCATCTAGTCCAACCCGCTGCTCAAAAGCAGGACCCATCCCCAATTAAATCATCCCAGCCAGGGCTTTGTCAAGCCTGACCTTAAAAACTTCTAAGGAAGGAGATTCCACCACCTCCCTAGGCAACGCATTCCAGTGTTTCACCACCCTCCTAGTGAAAAAGTTTTTCCTAATAACCAACCTAAACCTCCCCCAACTGCAACTTGAGACCATTACTCCTTGTTCTGTCATCAGCTACCACTGAGAACAGTCTAGATCCATCCTCTTTGGAACCCCCTTTCAGGTAGTTGAAAGCAGCTATCAAATCCCACCTCATTCTTCTCTTCTGCAGACTAAACAATCCCAGTTCCCTCAGCCTCTCCTCATAAATCATGTGTTCCAGACCCCTAATCATTTTTGTTGCCCTTCGCTGGACTCTTTCCAATTTATCCACATCCTTCTTGTAGTGTGGGGCCCAAAACTGGACACAGTACTCCAGATGAGGCCTCACCAATGTCGAATAGAGGGGGACGATCACGTCCCTCGATCTGCTCGCTATGCCCCTACTTATACATCCCAAAATGCCATTGGCCTTCTTGGCAACAAGGGCACACTGCTGACTCATATCCAGCTTCTCGTCCACTGTCACCCCTAGGTCCTTTTCCGCAGAACTGCTGCCTAGCCATTCGGTCCCTAGTCTGTAGCTGTGCATTGGGTTCTTCCGTCCTAAGTGCAGGACCCTGCACTTATCCTTATTGAACCTCATCAGATTTCTTTTGGCCCAATCCTCCAATTTGTCTAGGTCCCTCTGTATTCTATCCCTGCCCTCCAGTGTGTCTACCACTCCTCCCAGTTTAGTATCATCCGCAAATTTGCTGAGAGTGCAATCCACACCATCCTCCAGATCATTTATGAAGATATTGAACAAAACCGGCCCCAGGACCGACCCCTGGGGCACTCCACCTGACACCAGCTGCCAACTAGACATGGAGCCATTGATCACTACCCGTTGAGCCCGACAATCTAGCCAACTTTCTACCCACCTTATAGTGCATTCATCCAGCCCATACTTCTTTAACTTGCTGACAAGAATACTGTGGGAGACCGTGTCAAAAACTTTGCTAAAGTCAAGATACAATACATCCACTGCTTTCCCTTCATCCACAGAACCAGTAATCTCATCATAGAAGGCGATTAGATTAGTCAGGCATGACCTTCCCTTGGTGAATCCATGCTGACTGTTCCTGATCACTTTCCTCTCAGAGTTAGAAAAGCATCAAAGAATGGGCCCATCTAGCCCAGCATCCCGACTCCTCCCTGCTGCCCTGGATCAGACCCATGGGCCCATCCAGCTCTCTGCATCAGAGCAATGGGCCCATGTCTCCTGGTTGCCCCTGCCAAGATCCAGCGAGTCCCACCCTGGGATGCTCGCTGCCCAGATGCTGCTTTTCCAGCACAGCCTCCAACCAGCCCTAGAGCTCTTTCCACGATGTCCAGCCCTGCGTGTCGATTTCCAGGCCACCAGCCGCAGCCAGCGGGGACATCCCCATGAGCTTTTATAATGGGTCATTCCCTCCTCCCCCTCATTCTCCCTCTCAGTCTCCTCCCCCAGCTCCCCATTCTCCTCAGCCTGGGGACTAGACCCACCTCTCTGGTTGTACAAGGGGTCCAGGTCTGTAGCTGGGCCGAGAGAGAATGAGAGCCTCAAGCAAATAACCCCTTCTAGACCGCTATCCCTCCCCCTGCCCTCCTGGATTAGACCAGCGGGCCCATCTAGCTCAGTATGCCATCTCCTGCCCCCGCAAACTTCCTGCTGTCCTGGCTTTGGGGGGGCGGGCGCATGACGGCTGCTGAGAAGGCACACAGCGATGCCACACAGTACTGAAAAGCGGCCTTCTCTGGGGTGCGGCACAGCAGCTGGCTAACAGCCGCCCAGTGACAGGGCACCGATAGGAGTTTGGGACAGGAAGTGAATGAGAATCCTGAGCCAAGAAAACAGTGTCCTGGCCAACTGCACTCACTGCCTGTGAAGGCCTGATGCGGCTTCGCCTTCTTGCCCTGCAACTTCCTTATCCACCGCGAAGGTTTAGGTAAACTCAGGCCAGGGAAGACGACCTTCATCATCACTGTTCTCCCTGAAAACCTGCTCCCCTCAGGCGGCATCAACCCCATATCCCGCAGCACGTTGACGTCCTCAGAGGGCTGTGAGACAGGGCCCTGTTCCCTCATGGGGTCTGGAGGGAGACATAGAGGGAGCGCGTCACACACACAGCCCAATACCTGCCCCCCACCCCTGACTAATGGCCCACCTAGCCTGGGTTCCCACCCCTCCCTGCTGCCCCGGATCAGACCCCTTGGCCCATCTAGCCTCATATCTCCTCCCCCCCCCCCCGCTGTCTCGATTCGGCGGGGTGTGATGGCTGTTGAGAAGACACGCAGCAAAGCCACCCAGCATTGAAAAGCAGCTGCCTCCAAGGTGGGGCAGCTGGTTAACAGCCGCACAGCCATGGTGCGCAGGGATCGCTCACCTGCTGCTGAAATGCAGCCACCTCTGGGGTGGAGCGCGGCAGCTGGCAAACTGCCGCACAGTGACAGGGCACAGCTTGGAGTTTGGGACAGGATGTGAACGAGAATCCTGCATCAAGGAGATTTCAGGCCGTACATAGGCCTGGTTACTTGTATAGAGTTGTGGTTGCCAGGAGTAAGGTGGCCCCAATAGTACCTGAAGGCAAACACACTTTTTGGGTCAGTGTGTATGTTAGGCAGACAGAAGCTGAGCTGTTGTCAGTGCTACCCACCTCCTGCCGCCTCTGTCCCTGTACTAGACCCAGGGGTGGATTGAGTCTCTTCACTGAAGGATCCTGAGAAGAAAAACCAAAAGTAACTGAACATCTACTGAAAAATGTGAGCCAAATTGTGATAGCAGTGACCCTGATGTGAATCCGGAGTGACTCCACTTTCAGCAATTGAGTCAGGGTTAGATTCTGATCTTGATGGCCTCGGGTAACTCTGGAAGGATCTGGTCCCAAGCAGGCAGGGCTAGGTGGGCATTGCCGGGTCCTCACCCCTTTTCCCAGTCGCTACTGCAGGGCAGTCTGTGTCTCTCTCCCTGGCCCATGGGGGCGCACCCCCCCCACCAGCGCCTCCACCTGGTTCCCCGCAGCTAACTGATTGGCACCATCGGCTCGGTCGTCTAGGCGCTGATGCGGTTGCCTACAGACATCACTTTACAGCTGGTCAGGAATTTTTCCATGAGACCCTTTTTTCCCAGTGACAATAAAGCCTTGTTTGTTATGAGAACTGCCAGGTTTTCCGGTTCAAACCATTGTTCCGTTTCCAAATCTTAGCTAATTAGACTTTCGAAAAAAGGAGGTGGGAACCACCCACCTGAACAGCAAGAGAAGTCGAAACCAACCTGAAATGTCCTGAGGGACCTGAACTGAAAAGTGTTTAGTTTTTCACTTTGCCGAAATATTTGAGATTTTGCTGTCTCATCCCGATCAGGGACGGGAAAGCTTACTTGAAGGCTTGAAAATTTCCACGGGGTGGGAAAACCGTGCACTGGCCAGCTGCACTCACCGCCTGGGGAGGCTTGATGCTGCTTCCCCTTCTTGCCCGTCAGCTTGCTGAGCCACTCCCAAGGCAGAGGCCGGCTGGGCAAGGATTTTTGTTTTTTCCTCTGAAGCACTGAAAGACTGCTCCCCAGCTGCTCATCGGTGACCTCGGAGAGGTGTGACACAGAGCCTACAAAGAGTCCAAGAGGATGCGTGTCATACACAGGGCCCAGTTTGGGTGACCAGATGTCCCGCTTTTATCGGGACAGTCCCGGTTTTTGGGTCTTTTCCTTATATAGGCTCCTATTACCCCCCGCCCCCGTCCTGATTTTTCACACTTGCTGTCTGGTCACCCAGTACAGGCCCAGTACTTGTCCCCCTATGCACCCTGAGGCCTGACTGGCCCCTTAACTAATGGGCCCATCTAGCTTGGGTTTCTGCTCCCTCCCTGCTGCTCCAGGTCAGAGCTACAGGCCCATCTAGTGTAGTATCCAACCCTGTCCCTCCCTCCCCCACATACTTCCTGCTGTCTTGCTTTGGTGGGATATGACAGCCGCTTAGAAGACACACAGCGGTGCTAAACAGCATTAGAAATTAACTATCGCTGAGGCGAGGCTGCTGGTTAACAGCCACACAGCGACGGTGCACATGAATCACTCGTCTGCTGTTGAAATGCAGCCACCTCTGGGGTGGGGCACAACAGCTGGCTAACAGCCGCACAGTGACAATGCACAGATTGGAGTTTGGGAGAGGATGTGAGTGAGAATCTGCAATCAAGTAGATTTCAGGCTGTACACAGGCCTAGTTACTTGTACAGATTGTGGTGGCCAGGAATAGCACTGGGAAGGGGGACACATTTTTGCTGCAGTGGGCCAATGCGTATGTTAGACAGAGAGAAGCAGCGCTCCCCTGCGGCTGCTGTGTGTGCAGCAGAACTAGGGGTGGATTCAGCTTCTCCACTGGTTAATCCTGGAAAGAAAAACAAAATGGGACTGACATTCTGAAAAATGTGAGCCAACTTCTGATCTCAGTGACCCCCGGTGTGAATCTGGAGTGAGCCTCCTGATGCCAATGGAGACAAGACTGGCCTGGATTCTGATCTCAGTCACCACAGTGTAAATGTGCCGAGTGGAGGTTGCAGGGGGTGATGGTGGGGATAGGGACGAGGTTGCATTGGGCAGGTGGGTGGGTTGTGGTGGGCAGAGTGCAGGTGATGGGGTGGGTTGTGGTGGGCAGAGTGCAGGTCACATGGGGTGGGTTGTGGTGGGCAGAGTGCAGGTGATGGGGTGGGTTGTGGTGGGCAGAGTGCAGGTCACATGGGGTGATGGGTGGTGCGGGGCAGAGTGGACATTGTACGGCATTACACAGCTCTGGTGGGATAAGTGTCATAACTGGAATACTGTAATAGTGAGGTCTAGCTTGTTCAGGAAGGCCAGGCAGAGAAAACAGGAAGACAGGGTTCCATTGTATATCAAGAGTGTATACACTTGTTCTGAAGTCCCGAAGGAAATGAGAGGCAGAGCAGCTGAAAGTCTCTGGTCAAGATAAAAGGGCTATAGAGTAGGGGTGATGTAGGGGGTCTTCTATAGACCCCCAAATTTGGAGTAGGGGGCGGATGAGGCATTTCCAGAACAAATAACAGAAATACCCAAAATACAGGACCTGGTAGTAATGGGAGACTTTGAACTCCCCAGCCAGCTGTTGGAAAAGTAATGCGGCAAAACACAAGCTGTCCAATAAATTCTTGGCATGTATTGGGGAAACTTTCTGATTCAGAAAGTAGAGGAAGAAACCAAGGGGACAACCGTTTGAGACTTGATTCTGTCCAACCAGGAGGAATTGGTTGCGAATCTGAAGGTGGAAGGCAATTTGGGTAAAAGCAGTCGTGAAAGGATAGATGTCACGATCCTAAGGAAAGGAAGGAGCGAGAGCAGCAGAATGAGGGCAATGGACTTCAAAAAAGCTGACCAACAAACTCAGAGAACTGGTAGTTGAGGTCCCCTGGGAAGAGAATCTAAGAGAAAAAGGAGTTCAGAAGAGCTGGCAGCTTCCCAAGGAGAACGTATTAAAGGTACAACTATCACAATGAAAAGAAGAGAGATGAAGAATAATAACAGACCATTATGGCTTCAGCAGGAGGACTTGAATGACCTGAAAATCAAAAAGGAATCCCACCGAAAGGAGACATGTGGACGAATTGCTACAGAGGAGCACAAGCATGCAGGGAAACAATCAGAAAGGCTAAGGCACAAAATAAGTCACACCTGGCAAGGGACATAAAAGGCAGAAAGAAGAGGTTCTTAAGAAAGACGAAGGAAAGTGTAGGTCCTCCCATCAGTGGGGAAGGAGAGCTAATAATGGATGGCATAAAAAAGGGTGAGATGTTTAATGTCTCTTTTGCTTCAGTTTTCACTAAGAGGTTAATGGTGACCAGATACTTAACGCAATTAATATTAACAGCAAGGGGAAATGACCACAAGCCCAAATAGGGAAGGAAGCACTTAAAGAATAGCTAGATAAATTAGAGGTTTTCAAGTCAGCAAGGCCTGATGAAATTCATCCTAGGGTCCTTAAGGAACCAGCTGAAGCAATCTTGGGACCATCAGCAATTATCTTTGAGATACGCAGATGACAGATAAGGTTCCAGAGGACCGAAAAAGGCCAAACGTAATACCTGCCTTTAAAAAGAGGAGCAAAGGGGACCTGGGAAATTATAGAACTCTGCTACCTAGAAAGAGACTGGAACAAATGATTAAACAGTTGGTTTATAAGCCCTGGAGGACAACAGGGTTATAAGGACTAGCCAGCAGGGATTTTTCAAAAACAAATCATGCCAAACCAGCCAAACTTCCTTCTTTGACAATATTACTGGCCTAATGGCTGTGGGGGAAACAGGCAGCCATGATATATCTTGTTTTTAGTACATCCTTTGATAAGGTCCACATGACATTCTCATAAACGAACTAGGGCTAGAGGAAACAAATATAAAGTGAATGCACAACTGGTTGAAAGCCCGTACTCAAAGAGTAGCTATGAGTGGTTCACTGTCAAACTGGGAGAATGTATCTAGCGGGGTCCTGCTGGGGTCTGTCCTGGGTCCTGTTCACAATTTTCATTAATGACTTGGATGATGGAGTGGGGAGATGCTTATAAAATTTGCAGATGACCTCAAGCCGCGAGGGGTTGCAAGCACTTTGGAGCACAGGATTAGAATTAAGAAGGGTCTTGACAAATTGGTCTGAAAGCAATAAGATGAAACTCAATGAAGACAAGTGCAAAGAAGTACACTTTGGAGGGAAAAGCCAAATGCACAACTTCAAAATGGGGAATAACTGGCTGAGGTGTCGTACTGCTGAAAAGGATCGGGCAAGTTATAGTGGGTCACAAATTGAATATGAGTCAACAATGTGGTGCAGCTGTGAAAAAGGCGAATATTCTGGGGTGTATTAACAGGAGTGTTGTATATAAAACATGGAAGATAATTGTCCTGCTCTACCCAGCCCTGATGGGGTCTCAGCTGGAGCACTGTGTCCAATTCTGGGTGCCATACTTTAGGAAAGATTAAGATAATTTGGAGAGAGTGCATGAGAGAGCAACAAAAATGATCAAAGGTTTAGGAAACTTGACCTACAAAGAAAGTTTAGAAAACCAGGCATGTTTAGTCTTGAGAAAAGAAGGCAGAGGGGGGACCAGATTACAGTCTTCAAAAGATGTTCAGGGCTTTTATAAAGAGGACAGGGATCAATGGTTCTCCGTGTCCACCAAAGGCAGGACAAGAAGTAACTGGCTTAATCTGCTGCCAGCGAGATGTAGGTTAGATATTAGGAAAATCTGTCTAACTCTCAAGGTAGCTAAGCTTTGGACCAGGCTTCCAAGGGGGGTTGTGGAGTCCCCATCACTGAAGGGTTTTAAGAACGGGTTGGACAAACACCTGTCAGGGATGGTCCAGGTTTACTTGGTCCCACCTCGGTGCAGGGGGCTGGACATGATGACCTCTCATAGTCCCTTCCACCCTGAAACTTCTGTGATTCTCTGTGGTGATGGGAGGTATGGGGCAGAGAGGGGCGTGGTCCAGGACAATGGCATGGGGGATGGGACAGAGACAAGGTTGTTGGGGACAGCGGTTCATTTCCAGGGGCAGCCCTAGCCTCTGCTGCCAGCTATCCTTGGGACAGTGGATTGGGGAGGGCGGGGCACGGTAGTTGGGCAGCAGGATGTGCCAGTTTGGGGTGATGCAATGGGAAGGCCGGGCAGGGAGCGGGGACTGGATCAGGGATGGGATTGTCCCGTGACTCTGTTCCCAGTCGCTAGCGCGGATAGCTGGGGGAAGATGCAAGAGGCACTGGGGGATCCACTGGGCCCGGTCTCCTCCTGCCTGGTAACTCACCAGCTGCCCTTGAGACTTCCATTGCAGCTTGTTCTGCACTGCATAAAGTCTGGGCGAGCAAAGCCAGCTGCAGCCCATACTCCTCCCCATAGTAGCTGATCAGCAGCTCGGCCAGGGCCCCCGGATCGGCTCCCTCCAGGAGGGCCTGGGGGATGCGCTGGTATCCCTCCTTCAGTGGTACTTTGCTCAGCTTCTCTTTCCATCTCCGGAGCTCGTCCTTCCCCAGCCCTGCCAGGGTCTGCAGCAGGTGCTGTCTCCCCGTCCCCTCCATGCTCCCTCGGAGGGCAACGGAGCCGAGCAGAGAAAGAATCAGGAAGCTGCATCAGGCAGGGCTGGAAGCGATTGCTCCACCTTAACCAACCCCATTGCCACACGCCTCCCTCCTCCGGCCTGTTCCGCTCTCTGCTTCCCCGCAACGCAGCCTGGCGGCTCCGCTCCGCTCCCGCCAGCCGGGGAGGGAGGCCGCAGCCCCCTGTGCGCACGCCTGATGTGGTCTGTCCAGAAATTAGGGCTCTCCCTTGCCCACGCTGCCTGCCAGCGGCGATAGCAGCTTGAACCAGCACGAGGAACCGAGCCTAAAGGGAAAGCAGATTTCGGACAGGATTCAGTTACGCCGGGTTCAATAAGCTCCGAATCCTGCTGTGACTCCATTGACATCAGTGGGGTCACTCCAGATTTACATTGGAGGCTGCACAGTTACAGAAGAAGGACAAATTCTTACCCTGGACAGCAATAGACAAAGGATTATCGTCTCCAGTGTACAGATGGGGAAACTGAGGCATCCGGAAATTCCCAGGTGCTAAGTGGGCTGGTTCTGGGATACCAAGATGACCCCCAGTTCTGGGATTTCCACCATCCTTGGATTTAGCTACTGCAAGGGTGAAGATCGTCTGTGCCCGGGGAGGGGCTTTCTCAGGCCCCAGACTGTGGAACTCACTGCCCCTGGAACGAATTGCTAGCACCTCCCCTCTCCCCCTCACTGCCCTACAGCCCGAGTGCGCAGGGAACGAACTCCTGCAGTCTTCACTGACAATTTCACATCACTAGGGCCCTACCAAATTCCCGGTCCATTTTGGTCAGTTTCACACTCATAGGATTTTAAAAATAGTAAAATTCATTATTTCAGCTCTTTAAATCTGAGGTTTCTCGGTGTTGTAATTGCAGGGGTCCTGACCCAAGAGGAGGTTGTGGTCGGGGGGTGGGGGGGTTGCAAGGTTATTGTAATGGGGGTCATGGTATCGCCACCCTTACTTCTGCGCGGCTGCTGGCGGCGGCGCTGCCTTCAGAGCTGGGCGGCGGGACGGCGGCGGCTGCCGGCCGGGATCCCGGCTCCGAAGGCAGCGCCGCGGCCAGCAGCCGCGCAGAAGTGAGCGTGGCACGGTCTGGTCTTGCCCCCCTTCCGTCTGCGCTGCTGCCTTCGGAGCCGGGCGCCCCGCCAGCCGTCGCCGCTCTCCGGCCGCCCAGCTCTGAAGGCAGCGCAGAAGTAAAGACGGCAACACTGCAACTGCCCTGCAATAACCTTGTGACCCCCTCCCGCGACCCTTTATTGCGTCGTGACCCCCCCCCCGTTTGAAAATGCTGGTCTCCCCTGTGAAAGCTGGATATGGTAGAGGGTAAAAGTAGACACGAGACCAGTTTTCGTGGCGAGACCAGATTTCACGGTCCACGATGCGTTTTTCACGGCCGCGAATTTGGTACACGTTGCCCATTCGCTAATAAATACAACAGCCCCAGGGACTCATCCCTGTGCCGCTTGGAGGGCAGGAAGCCGCCACTGACAGATGAGAGCAACTTTATTTTTTCTTCAAGAGAGGGCAGGGCTAAGGGACCATGTTGAGGGGGTTTGGCCTTGTAGCTCCTCCCCTTGCTTTCTGAGCACCAGTGACTCAGCTTCCTGCTCTTGTCTCTCTGCTGTCCCAGATCCAATGGAGAAGACAGGCAGGCAGCACCTGCTGGAAGCCCTGAAGGAGTTAAGGGCCAAGATCAGTCAGGTCTGGCTGAAGAGGGGGCTGGAGGGCTCGGGGCTGCTGAGGGGAGCAAAGCCCTTCCACCCCTCTCTATGGCTGATGGTGGATGTCGAGCTGGAGGTGACTGTGGAGGGGCTGAGAGCTGTGAACCGGGGAGATCTGGCTGCGGAATTGGCTGCGTTGCTGGATGCTTATGAGGAGCAGCGCCGGGAGCAACGATCAGCCACCTCCAGAGCTAGGGGCCACCTGCTCTGCACCTTGAATGAGCTGGGGGAGGATGAGCTTGGGAGGTTCAAGGTCAAGCTGGCTGACATGGGGCAGAAAGGGGGCTACAACCCCATCCCCTGGTGCCGGCTGGGGAGAGCGAAGCCTGCAGAGGTCACCGCCGAGCTGATCAACCACTACAGGGTGGACTGTGGCTTGGAGACTGCTGGGGAAGTGCTCAGGGCCATCAGATGGGAGGGAGCTGGCAGGGGGACTTGCCGAGGCACTGGAGACTTACGAAGAGCGATGCAGGGAGCAGAGACTGGCTCTCTGCAGAGTGCGAGAGACACAGGCATGAACCTTGGGCAGCTTGGGCGAGGAGGGTCTCAGGAGGATCTGGGAGAGAGCGGCCAAGACCCATCATCAGGGGCCGTACGGCTGACCCCTGGGGAGGGCAGGAGAGAGCACAGGTCATAGAGATGATTGAGGAGCTGGTGAGCACCTACGGAGAAGGCCATACTGTGTGGATGACCCAGGAGATGCTCAGAGCCATGAGCCAGGGACCTCTGGCCGAGCGACTGGCTGAGGCCACCGGGATCAGTAAGGGAGATCTGCCCCCACATCCCAGCTCTGGAAAGTCCTTTCCCCCCTCGCTAACTGGGAGTGATGGAGATGCCATCTGTTTGCAGCTGGGAGGCTGGTGCCAATCCCACCCTGTTTTGCTTTAACCCCTTTCCCTGCGCTTGGCTTTTCTGACCCATGAGATGCAGATTTTGCTGTTGCTTCCCCTCCGAAAGTGGAAATTCCCCCGTAGTCCGGAGCCAGATTCACAGCTGTCTGCTTCCCCTTTTTATATTTCCTGCAAACTCTCTGTTGCCAGGCAGATGGTCGTTTGCTGGGGCTTTCCTGTGCAGCACAGAAGAATCCCAGCCACGGAGACGGCGAATTGGCTAGAAATCAGACTAATGGGGGATTTGTGCCATTGACTTTGGATCAGGCCCCGAGAGATTGCCTGTGTTTTTAACTCCTGGCTCTCCCAGCAGGGGCACAGTCGGGAGTAGGGCAGGAGCACTGGCTGAGGATAGCTCCTGGCCAATCCAGCCCTGGCCTCTGCCAGCAGGGGGCACTATAGGGACCAGGACAGGCGCTCTGGCTAAGGGAGCACTCTGGTTTGGGGGAAGCTCCTGGCTATGCTGGCTCCAAGTCCGGCCTCTGCCAGCAGGGGGCACTGTAGGGACCAGGGCAGGAGTGCTGTGCTCCTGGCTACTCCAGTCCCAGCCTGTCCCATTGTATAAACTGGAAACCCTGCCCCATGGAGGCACTGTGCGTCAAGCTGTACCATAGCTGATCCTTTCCTATGGCGTCAGCTTGCAGAGCAGCCCCACGGCAGCCCGGACGATGATCCCACTGAGCTGGGCCCGGGGCTATGCCGAGCTGGAATGGTGTTTCCTCTCTGCAGGGGATGGATCCAGCGGGGAGGACCTCACCATGGAACCCTCCGGGAAGCAGGAGAAATGCATGTGGTGTGTGACAGAGGTGGTAGGGATGGGGACCTCACACTCCCTGCTGGGGTATTCTAGCACCTCCAGCTGGCCATTCAGAGGAAGTTACCCTGCTGGGTTGGTGCGGTGCAGTCTGGAAAAGGAAACAAGACCAATCAGTGGGATCAGGGGACTGGGAGTCAGGACTCTGGCTCTGGGAGGGGAGTGGGGTGTAGGGAATGAGGGTGGGATCTGGGAGTCAGGACTCCTGGGTTCTATTCCCAGCTGAAATTAAGTAGCTTCTTCAGCCAACTGAACAGGAGCAATGGTTTGCAAAACTCTCCCCACAAGACCAGGGCGGGCGGGGGTGTGTGTGTGTGTCTGTTACCTGGGAACCCCCCTGCCCCACCCCCCAGGGCAATGACTGATTGTGGGGCTGGAATCCAGCTGGTCAGGAGTCCGCTCTGCCAGGGTCTCAGGCCATGGAAACAGCCCCCAGCTGAACACTTGCCCACAGCCGCCCGGGTTCCCTCCTCCAAGAGCTCTGCTCCCAATGGCGCCACCTTAACGCCTGTTCCTGTGTCTTAGGACCTCTCAGAAGTGAAGCCAGAGCTCGTGCTAGAGTCCGAGGGGAAGCCCAGATCCTACAGGTGAGAGAGCCTGAAGGGGTGAACCTGGTGTCTTCTCGGTAAGACACTAGACTGGGATGTAGGAGACTGGAGTTTAATTCTTGCCCCTGTTACCAATTCCCTGACCCCTCAGGCCAATCATTGAATCCAGGGGTTCTCCACCTTTTTCTTTCTGAAGCCCCCCCACAATGTGCTTTAAAAACTCCATGGTCCCCCTGGACCACAACAGTTGTTTTTCTGCATATCCAGTCGTTGAAAGCGAGGGCCGGTGTTAGGGGGTAGCCAGCAGGGCAATCGCCCCGGGGTCTCACACCACAGGGCGGCCCGCAGAGCTAAGTTGCTCAGACTTCAGCTTCAGCCCCAGTTCCCGGCGAGTCTAACGCCAGCCCTGTTCTCTGCTTTATTTTGGCGGAACTCCTGAAACCTGATCACAGCCCCTCAGGGGGCCCCAGGTTGAGAACCACTGATTTAATCCACCCTGGGCCTCGGGTCCCCATCTGTAAAATGAGGAGAACTATTTGCTCTCTGGGGCAAGGACTGCCCGGCACAAGGGAGCCCTGATCTCAGCCGGAGTCTGTGTGGTGCCCAGCACAAGGGGGTCCTGATCTCGGCCAGGGTCTGTGTGGTGCCCGGCACAAGGCGGGCCCAGATCTTGGTTGGGGTCTGTACAGCGCCTGGCACAAGGGGCCCCTGATCTCCGCTGGGGTCTGTGCAGCGCCTGGCACAAGGGGCCCCTGATCTCGGCTGGGGTCTGTGCGGTGCCCGGCACAATGGGGACCCAGTTCTGATCTGAGCCTATATGCACTACAGTAATGCCCACACAAACAATGGGGATTAACAGACCTGACTCCAGCTGGTGTCAGTGGGAGCAGGAGGTTGGCTAGTTCCATCTCGCACTGATTAATTCCCCCTCTCCCTTTCTCCCTGTGCCGTGCAGGGTTCACCTCCTGGGGCAGGCTCCTTCTGTTGCTCTGAAACCGAACTGGGGTTTGAGGT